TAGTTTTTTGTACATACGTTTCTGCCGCACACTTTAGTGGGAAAACGGATCGTCAAAGTATCCGAAAATGGAATCAGTAAACGGACAAAAATCTGCACTTCAACCACTTTTTTGTCCTTTTTCGGATCAGTTTTCAGATTTTTTTCTGGCTGGGTAATAATAGCCATTAAGAACAATTTCCGTTACATTTGAATATAACCAGCAGCGACTTCTGTTTATTTTTCATTTTACGTTGGCAGTGGTTTTATATTAATCGCTTGAAGATGGGTCGCAAAATTATATTTACCAGTGGGAATATTAGTTGTGTTTTGCAGGTGCTCACGATATTCACGATTTACAGGTTTTTTTTCGCAGGAAAGCGTTCCAGGTGCCAAAAAAACTGTAAGTCAAACCACGTTTATGAGAAGGCAAGTGAGCTTATTTTTTGTCAAGCATAACGCGAGACGGTTGATAAGGACTCCATGGCGCTTTAGATTTAAAAATTAAATGGAAGTAGGTAGACGAAATTTAATAAAAATGACAGATTTATTATCTGAACACACTCAGGGAAATAATGCATAGTAAAAATGAATACTTTATATTTGATTATCGTTTAAAAATGTTCGTAATTAAAAATAATATTTTCCTTTTTTGACTGTTCACATCTGAGTATGTATGTATATGTAAAAACTGTGACAGACAGTGTTGCCAAATTTTTTTTGGCATTTGTCTCCTTAATCCCCATTTAAATCCCTTTAAGTATAAAATAAAAAAAAAAAGTATTGTTATTTCTGTTAGTTCATTTTAATTGGAGTTTTGAATACTTTTTGGTTACAAATTTTCACAGATTTATATGTGTTCATATTTATGTGATCATTTAGTGATTTATTTTTTATGGTTTTTGGAGACTAAGGTACCTCTTCCCATTGCTGTCTGTAAATTCCCCAAATTAGTATGTTTTTTTTTTATGCGCTTGCCACTTTGTAAATTTCTTTTTATACTGGCTGCGTTTCTTTATAGATTCCGGATAATCCCATTTCACAGCCGGAATAAACAGAATACGTTTGAAATATACATTAACATATCATCAGGAACGTTCTAAAGAATAAGTAAACAAAAAAGTTTATTCCAAACGTTCAGAATGAATAAAGAAATTCAGCCACTAAATAAAGAACCGACAATGTTGGCGCAAGGAAATCAGAAATAAATGTAGTTCATTCGGTGAATGCCAATCACAGCGTTCCTTTTACAATTTGATGTAATGAAGTGAGAGAAAATTGTTTGTTCAGCGAAAGCCAATCAAAGCAGACATTTGCTCCGAATAATGCTTTTATAACGAAAATCTTTGTTTGAGAAATTTTTAAGGGCAGGCAATAAAATATATGTATTTTAATTTTAATATGAATATTTTAGATCAAATAAAAATCCCCATAAAATCCCCACATCCCCAAACGAAAAAATCTATCCCCAAATGGTTTCAGAAATCCCCAAAATGGGGCGAAATCCGCACATCTGGCACCACTGGTGACAGACGACAAAGCTTATGCATACGGTGACCATCCGTCCTTTATTTTAAAGGACAGTCCTTTATTTTAACCCCCTGTCCTTTATAATTTTTTCAAAATAAAGGACGCCTTTTGACCTTTATTTTTTAAACTGTCCCTTAAAATCGGCTCTGCATTTTTCAGAGGTAAATTTTTAAACGCAGAATATGAGAAATAAAAATGTTCCTTATAAAATATAATGAAAACTTTCGTCAGTTTGTTTCGCACCCCACTTAAGGGTTTATATTTAATCGGTAATCTTTGTACAATCTATAAAGCATAGGGAAAGTTGTGCCCAGGATCGTGTTGAACGCTGAGTTTCCACTGAAATTGAAGAATAAACCCCCTGGTGCGCATTGGTTTAAAACTGGCATTAATTTACTTCATTTTTCACTTAATTTTTATTTTATTTTTTATGAAAGCTTATCATATTTTCAAGAGACCAGTTGAGCCTGATTACTGAATTTTAATTTGATTATATTAAATTTTTTAGTGCAAAATGCAGAAAATGTAGCAATTTTGAAGAAAATTTATTCTCCTGTTCCAGTTAATAAATGTTATATAACAAAAACTAGTTGAAAACAATTGTATGGTTCTCCCAAAAAAAAACAATACACAAAATTTTTGGTTTTCGGTAAACGCATTTTAGTAGCAAAGGATGGCGAAGTCTTTGAAAAGGATTTGGATTCATTTCTCGCTACAGCAGGGGAACTTATAAATTAAATAATATAATTAACTGGTAAATATTAGATTTAAATTGCGATATGGGCAAGGTACTTTTATCATACAAGTTGTATATACGTATTCCCAAATCATTTTGGAAAAAATTTCCTTTATTTTACGTTGGTTAATATGGTCACCGTAATTATAATGCACTTGATCAAAAGATCCTTACGAATTCGCCGCGATTTGTTACGATTCGCACCGTGCATTATAACCAAGGTATAACCTTGTATTATTGAATCATGATTCATGAAAGCAGTTCACCATTTAACCTCGGTCAATGCGCACGCGCCGTCTTCAAATAAGTCATTGGCAAATCCTTTTATTTTGAATTATATATGAGAGGAAGGCGTGCTTATAGTCCGATTTCACCGTACGTTTTCAGTACCAACCTACCTTGGATAAAGGGCAACCTTTATACCAAATTTTTTTTTGAGATATCTCAATTTATGTTTGAGTTTACGTGTACACGGACAGAACGACGGATGGACAGACATGGCTAAATCGGTGTACAAGTGCGTTCGGGTATAAAAACAGCAATTGATTACGCGAAAGTGATTCCTCTGTGATTAAGTGACTGATGAGCGAGAACCGCTAGTGATAACATCAGCGATGCACTGTTTGCCAAAAATCATCTATCTTCTTCTATACTATTATTCTGAGAAGCGGCTCTTATTCCTGCAAATCTATTAGCTCCAGCATATCACGCCATATATGTTTTGTTTAAAAAGCGCGATGAGACTATTAGCGCATAATTGAGCCGTTTATTTTGAAAGTGACATAAGTCACTTCATTCCTCTTGTGCTTAAATAACCGGCTATTTGTAATCGAATGCATCGTCATAAACTAACGACAAAGCCTTCAACCTTTCGTTGATGAAGTTGAACGAAAAACCGACGCGTTTAAATACATGTAGCCGGTAATTGAAGCACTAGATTTGTGAAGTGACTTATGCCACATTCAAAATAAACGGCTCATTTATCAAATTTAGGACTGATACTACAAAATATTTTTTTTTTTTTTTTATACCTAAATCTCTAATTCAAACCATGTCATTCTAAAATGGCATAGCCAACTGTCCTAAAATGGAAATAATTTCGAATAAAAATCGGATGTCTCGTCCCTTTTTCCTTATCCCGTTTCTGGACGTTTTCCCAGAAAAGTACAGAAATTTATGATCATATTCTCATGCGTTTCGTTGTGCACTTCACATATGTTTTTTTAGATATAAAAAAATATATAAAAATTTTACCTCTGTATCTACTTCGGAGACACGAAAAAGTTGTGCACTTCACATATGTTTTTTAGATATAAAGAAAATATATAAAAATTTTACCTCTGTATCTACTTCGGAGACACGAAAAAGTTTTTATAACGTTTTTTTTTTTTGCCTCAGACCCAAATCAAACCTGGGATCTCGAGGAAACTATCAAATAACAGCAAACGCCTATTCACACTCATCTAGAGTTATGTAAACACATGTGCAAATGTTCAGTTTGAATAGAAATCTTTTGAGACGTTTTGTGGAGACTTAAAATCATAGTTAATGGAAATGGGCTTTTTCCTGATAAGAAAAATGTGTAGAAAACTCACCGTCCGCCAAACGTAGCCTCCAAAGTTCTAAATAAGTACACTCACAAGGGAAATAGAAAACTTAAACACAATTGCATCTTATAAATCTCAATAAAACTAATTCAAAGCTTAAGTATAAGTCCCTCAGAATGGCGAGAAAGTCAGTATCAACGATAAACTTATGAATAACATGATGGATAACGTTTTGTACTTACGTAGAATATGTTTGTAGTTAGGTGTTTGCTTTAGCTGATGGTAGAGATTTACAAATAATGCAGCAAAAAAGTAGTTGCACACAATCGCCAGACAACAAGAGAAATAAAACAATATTTGCCGACGAGTGGTGCGCCAAATGTCAGTCATTATATTATCGATCTCTTGCTTCAATTGGTATTTTACGGGGAAATCTATAAAAAAATTAAAAAATACAACAATAGAACTAATGAGAACATCTCGCAGATATTGCTGATGTCAAACCGTGTTGAAATATTTCTATTTTATGTATTAGGTCGTGGGTTAAAACCTGGTCCAGTAGACGGTAAAAGGTTCGTTGCCTTAACAGATAGTACACCATTTTGAAGAGCGAAATGAGAGTCTGCAAAGCAGTGCAAACAGTCTGCGAAGATAATTTAAATTATTAAGTAAGTACCGAACAATTTTTTATGTAAAACAAGCAAACCTCAGCTAAGAGAGGAATGCTATCGAAATTTCTCTGGAGGTAGCACCAATGGGCGTACAAGGACAGCGTGCTACTCACCACCAAAATCACATTAACGCTTCAATGCACAAATAAGTTATTAATTAAGTTTATTAATAAAAAACATATAGGCTTGTTCTATTCATTGCACTTACATTCTCAACGATTCTTTGAATTTACTGGGTGCGGTCAAATTAACGCCTAATCCATAAGAAACTGCAAACAGCACTTTTATTGAATTAAAATTACGTTCACGAACTTCGGCCAATTTGTCTAAAATCATTATTTTGTCTTAAATATAGCAACTCTTGTTTGTGTAGCTGAATAACTTAAGTTAAAATTAATTTCTGCACACTTCATCTTAAATACTAGTTGTTCAAAGTAATGAAGTGATATCCGAGTATGCGCTGCGTAAGCTTCTGCGTACAATATTAATTGCTTAATTGATACCTTGGAATATAGGGGGACTTGCCATGATTTAAAATGTAATTAATATGCACACCCTCAAGTGATTGGGTTAAGCGCGGTTCGTCATTGGTCCTTTGTGAGTTCGTGCTCACCATCGCCTATCTGTCAACGCCCATGTTAAATGTTTAATTTCTCAAACGTCAGCAGCAATGTCATTGTTCGCGCTGGTGGTCATACTACTTTGGAGCAGATTGGCATTTAAGTAAGGGCTTCGGAGCGGAGCGAAGCCTAGGAGCAAGGAGCAAAGGATTTTAGCTGGAGCGGAGCGGAGCAAAGAGCTAAACAAAATTAATTTTCTCCTTAGCTTATTAAAGAAAAATATTCAGTTAATATATTTGCTTACATTTTTTTATTTTTGCCACTGAAAACAACTCTGTTAAATAAATTTCCATTCTATTTATTTCGCTTGGCAATATCAGAGAACGTTTATAACTGAGAAGGCGCATTTTCTCTGTGAACTAA